CTCTCTCTCTCTCTCTCTCTCTCTCTCTCTCTCTCTCTCTCTCTCTCTCTCTCTCCTACCCTGCTTCTCAGTAATTCTCATTGTGTCTCATTTAAAACACAAAATTGGGACCAGTCAAGGTAAACTCACATGAAATATCTTTTTCCTGGATTCAATGGTGAAGAAAGAAATTGCTTACCAAAGGTCTAAATATTGCCTGCTTCCTTCCAGAATGTTCTAATAAAGTTTCTCCTCCTCCTCCTTCTTTTCCCTGAATGCAGTAACTCCATAACCTCACAAAGGACAGGTCTTGGAAACTTTAACGGTCCTGTGATCACACACCCCAAAAGTTATTTTAGGGGTTGGTAGTTAGACTCTCTGCTCGCCTGAACCCTGATGTTGCCCTGATATTAGTTCTGAGCTCATTGGCTTGCTTCTCACAAGTGCCCCCCTGTCATTTGGTCTGATTTTCAGTGACGTCGCTATACACTGTCCTTCTGGGTCCTGGCTGTTTGGTGTGGCTGACCTGAGTTAGCCTCACATGCATAATGACAGTGCTTCTCGGCACAGTTGGCAAACCTAAAGATCCCATGGCATCAATATGTGTGCTGAGCAATGTTCTCGAAATGGAGTGTTAAGTATAATACTGGGTAACAAGTATCCCAGATCCAACACTTCCAGTGTTGGAGTCTACAAACTCATTCAACTAACAGCTGGTCCTGAACTTGGCCCTAGGAATGTGCTGGGCACAGTGGGACTATTTCTTGTTGTGTAGAGCTTGCAGTCCATGAGGTAAGTACTGATAGCACAGTGGCCTCTCACACAAAGATCAAGGACGAAGTGCCATGAGATGGTGTTGCAGAGACCTGTCAGGGTCTAAGAGGGCTTCCAAGGGGTGCCCGAGAAGGGGCTGTAGAGCTGAAGTGGCCACAGACATCTGAAGGATGTGTGAGATTCCCAGGTGAGGGCAAGATGGGGGTGGGGCATCAGGAGCCCTGGCTGGGGATGGACGGGGCCTGGCCATCCCAGGACTTGAAGTCCTGAGTTTGTGGATGAGACCTGAGAGGGAAGGAGGGATCCAGGATTACTGGAGGGAGCAATACCTCCTTAAAAATATATTAAGCCACTCAGTTGTGTGTGAGAGCACACGAGTGTGTGTACCATGGCACACATGTAGAAGTTGGGGGACAACTTATGGGTGGGAGTTGATTTTCTCTTTCCACTGTGTGGGTTCCAGGGTTGAGTTCAGTCTCAGTTGCAATCCTCTTCACCCACTGAGTGGTCTTAACTCTTGATATCATTTTGCTCTAGTTCCCCCTACTTGGAGGTGTTATGAAAGTCTGCTGGGAGCTCTCTTTGATTCTCCAACCCTGAGCTTTCCTCCAGAGCCTCTCAACGAGGGCACCAGGAGACTCGCCAAGTTTCTTACCTAGCAGCTGAATTCTGCAGAAGCCAACAGATCTTCTTAAACCTGAGGCCCACACTTGGTACAATGCCACCTTCTTTGGTCAAATGTAGTCATGGGACAGCCCTACTTTAAGGGAATGGAAAATAGATTTGGTTTCTCAGCAGATATAGTGTGTTGTTTTGTTGTGGGCTACAGAAGATGGAACTCAGGACCTCCTGAAAGCTAGACAAACTCTCTAAGTGTCCTAATACTCCCTGCTCTAGGCTCCCTTTCCCAGAGGATACTAAAGTAATACTAAAGCACCATATAGACTACGTATGAACACTTTACAGTTGTCACGTGATAGGGATGCTGCTTTAACAGTTTCCCGAGTGTGTTCTTTATTTCTCTACCAACTGTCATACCTAGATTCGGATTCTGAGTTCAGCTTCAGAATTTTATACTTCCATTTCATTCAAGGTGCTCTGTGAGGTGAGACAATTTTAAGCACCCCAAAGTAGGCTCACTTCTCCCTTATGTCCTGGGCGGTCTGGCCTCTCCCTCCTGTAATGCTGTTTTTCCTGCCACCACTCTTTCTTCCCAACAAATCTCACCCAAGTCTAAATGCTTCTCCAGGTCTTCACTGGCCAGTGAAGTCTGAATTGGATGGTCATCTAGTTCCCGTGTGAGCCTCGTCTGCCATGCTTATATAATAGGAGCTGAATCGATATCTCTAGATTCAAGCTGAAAAAAATTAAGATGTTCTAGAACATCCTGCATTTTGAACAATATTAGTAGAGTCATAATGAAGACTAGATGAAAGGTATTGTACTTACCAGGTTCAAGCATTCCCTGTCCCCTTTAAAATAGTATAAACTGTCATGGGCATAACCTTCCCCGTGTATGAAGACAGTGATACCATCAGGATTGCCTAAAATCCTTGTTGTCATAGTGATCCAGCACAGATGGAACTCAGTGGTCTGCATCCCATCTCTTTTGCTTTTTGACACCACAGTCCCGTCCCTCTTATTAGATATGGAGATTCTATTCACACATTCCACCAAATAAAACAAAGTTCAGAATGTTCTCCAGTTCTTCCTGGAGCAAGTTCTTTGCAATTAGGATCAAACCTGATTGCCCCAATTCTCCAGGTGGAGTTCGTTTAAGAATCTTTTCTCAGCGGCTTAAGAGTATTGTGGCCTGCTCGTTGATATCCTCTTTGGCATGACTACTTTCTGCTTCAAGCATGGCATTGGGAATTTTTGTTTTGTTCTGTTTTGTTTTCCTGTTCATACTTAGATCCCTTCTTTACCTTTACCCTCACC